TAACACAAAGTCCTTCACTTGGAACTCAAGATCCGATCGCCTCCGGTTAGCATAAGTTTTCTGACGGATCTATGCGACCCACAAACAGTCGCGCACCCGCTGAATCAGTCCGGTAGTCTTGAGCACTACCTTAGTGCTCCTCATGAATCGGTTTCCAACCTAATCCCAACAGACCAGAGTCCTGCACCTCCGACCATATAACATCACGATTGGAGCTCGGTCGATGCTGACATGATAACTGTTATTGTACGAAAACTCTGCCAATGGGAGGTACGTGTCCCAACTCCCTCCAAAAACCAACACACATGCTCAAAGCATGTCCTATAGTGTTTGGATCATCCTCTCGCTTTGGCCATCGGTCTGGGGGTGGTATGTCGTGCTAAAATGTAACTGAGTGCCTAGTTCCTCGTGGAACTTCTTCCAGAACCTAGATGTAAACCGAACATCCCTGTCAGAGACTACCGACACTGGCACTCCGTGTCTAGCCACCACTTCCCACACATAAATGTCTGCCAACTTCTCAGTGGATATACTCTCTAATATTGGAATAAAGTGGGCATGTTAGGTATAGAGAAAGGGAATTGTACTGGAGAATAGAAATGCAGAGAAAGAGAATTAATCTGGTGAAAGAGAATTGATTCCACTGTTTGGTATAACTGAGAATCCACTAGAGAAATGTTTCTGATAATCATTTCTCTTGTTTGGTTATATTAAATAATGAAATGGAAATGAAAATTTTTAACTTTTTTATTTATTTTCAAGCAACATTTTCTTTTATAAAAATGCATTATCATGTATGTTTTAATTTGTCAAAAATATACGTCCTTTATGTTTATAATTTTTTATTTTAACATTACTTGTTACCGAATAGTTTATTTTATTATCAGTTAATATTATTTTATATGCATCTTCTATTGGAAACATATTTCTAATATAAAAATAAGTTGCAAATAGATCTAGATATAAAGAAATATGAAAATCATACTATTTAAAAACTATATTTAAAAACTATGCCCAATAATGAATGTGCAATAAGGCAAATTTAGTATTCGTAACAACTAAAAAAATAGAACTTAAAATAGTCTAATCATGCTATTGATCCATCCACAATTATTTTCACGTAACAACTCCGTTCATCTTAAAAAATGATCGGGTGTGGAATTGATATTTGCTAAATATATCAATCGCCTTAACTTCAGCATTAGCAATAACACATCATTTAGCTGTATCCCAACCGAATCCACTCATATTTTTCCCACTGTCATAGTTAAGAACTTCAACTTCTGCACCAAAAAAAAAAAACACAAAACACAAAAAAAAATGAATAGCTCTAACAAACCCTGTTTAGGACTACGTAAGTTCGTCAATTCTTAACCAATTAAGATGCTTTTAATCCTAAAATGAAGCCAATATATAGGACTACAATCTGAGATAAATATCAGCTCGTTTCAAGGTCGTATGAGAGATTTATGGTTGTTTAAAGTCTGGGTAATATTTTACAAAATGTCGATACAAAAAACAACTCTTATGCCCATGTTTACGGTTGTGTAAGTCAATCAATTCTTACCCAATTAAGATGTTTTTTTTATCATAAAATAAAGCCAATAAAGAAGATTACAATCTGGGGAAAAAGTCAGATAATCTGAGGTTGTATGAGGAATTTATGACTTTTCAAAGTGGGCTAAATTTTACAAAATGCTGAACAAAAACTAACAACTCTAGCACCACCTGTTTATGGCTATGTAAGTCAATCAATTATTAACCGATTAAGCTATTTTTTATCCTATAATGAAGCCAATACAAATGACAAAAATCTGGGAAAAAACTCAACTTGTTGCAAGATCGTATGAGGTTATGACTTCAAAGTAATGGCAAATAATTTACAAAATAATGAAACAAAAACAAATAATAATCCTTATTTTCTCCACAATACTAATACTAGGAAATCTAAAAAGTTAAATAGCAAATTCATATGTTCCTTGCAGTCAGATTCTGATCAAAATACATTCACAAATCACTTTATTACAATTTCAATTTGAGAGGTTAGATGGGATGTTACAATTCTTATTTTATTTATACATAAGTCGATCAAATAATCAAAATAATAAATTGATTAAGAATCCTATATCATTCAAAGTAGAAATCCAATAATTACCTATGACTTGAATTAGGTTTGCAAAATTGAAACACAAAGAAATCGGGGATAAGGAGATCGACACCGAAGCCGTCGATATTTGGTGAAGCTCGAAATCGAGAAGCAATATCGGATATTTGTTGAGGCTTGAAATCAAGAAGCAGAAGCTATGGAGAAATATATTTCTTCAGTAGATGAAGATTATCATTGACCAAAAATAGGGAGCACACAGAGGAGGTTCGAAGTCACAGTGTCTTTTATTTCTCCGTTTTTTTTTTTTTTTTTTTTTTTTTTTTTGTTTTTTGTTTTTTGTTTTTTGTTTTTTGTTTTCTCGGTTGTTTTTTCTCACCATTTATTTATAAAAAATGAGAATTAATAGGATGGAAATGGAATTAATATATTTCCCTTTTTAACACTAACCAAACAAGAAAATTGGAATACATTCCATTTCCTTGCTCTAAATTCTCTATACCAAACACCCCCTAGATGTAAACCGAACATCCCTGTCAGAGACTACCGACACTGGCACTCCATGTCTAGCCACCACCTCCCGCACATAAATGTCCGCCAACTTCTCAGCATATATACTTTCTGAGATCGAAATAAAATGGGTACTCTTCGTCAGTCTGTCTACGATCACCCATATGGCGTCCACACCCCTCGCCGTCCTCGGTAACTTCGTAATGGAGTCCATAGTAATCTCTTCCCATTTCCACATGGGAATGTGTAGCGGCTAAACCTTGCCATGAGGTCCCTGATGCTCGACATTGGCCTTCTTACAGGTCAAGCACCGCTCCACAAACCAGGCGATCTCCCGCTTCATGCAGGGCCACCAATAACTCAACCTCAAATCTTTATACATCTTCGTAGGCCCCTGGATGTATAGAGAACTTAGACTTATATGCATCCTCTAATAGTTTCTACCTCACTCCTCCAGTCACCGGTACCCATACCCGACCACACTGTGTTAGAAGGCCACGACTATCCCTAACAAACAAAGGATATTGCCCCCGAATCCGCTCTACCTTCCAATTTTCCTTATCCACACCCCTCGATCTGAGCCTTCTTGATCATATCCAAAGATGACAAGATCACGGTCATCCTCAAACAAACGTTTTGAATTGGGAACTTGCCACGTTACGGCTTAAAGCATCAGCCACCACATTGGCCTTCCTGGGATGGTACAAAATCTCACAATCATAGTCCTTCAGTACATCCAACCACCTCCTCTGTCGCATGTTGAGGTTCTGCTGATCCATCAAATACTTCAAACTTTTGTGATCAGTATAGATGGTACACCACACTCCATACAAATAGTGCCTCGAAATCTTGAGGGCAAACACCACTACCCCTAATTCCAGGTTGTGAGTGGGGTAGTTTGCCTCATGAGGTTTCAACTGTCTCAAGGCATATGTTATTATTGTTGTCGAGACAAGTAAAGTTCAGTTTACTATCCGAGACCGGAGGTGGGGGGGGGGGGGTGGTGCAAACTCAGAGTGTTAAATGTGAACTCGGGTATACAGGAGTCCGTGGGCAGCGCCTCTAGCGGGGTCTAGGGGAAGCGCCATTTGTAAGGTCCAAGGGGGAGAGCCCCTGGTGGTGGTTCCAACCTAAACGGATTTCTATATAAGGAAAGAGTCCAACCATGCATTTTCCCGCCAAAAACCTATTGATGACATCATGATGATGTAGGCATCAGTTGTTTCCAAAAAACTACCCCTTTAGCGCTAATTTGGTGTAACCAATTTTAACCAGTTTTCCTTCCTTATATAAATGCAAGGTAAATGTTCTAGTAGAATGGTTGATCATTCATACATAAGAAATTGATCTTTTGCTATTTAATGTCTCTCAAGAACATAAAACATTAAAGTATTCTGTGTTTTATGGTCTAGATTGGGTCTGTGATCCAAATCAGATTTCTTGGTATTATCCCACTTTTGAATTTGTGTAACCCTGGCTATAAAGGACGAATTATGAATTTTAGAAGTTGTTATAATCAAGATCCAAGTAATATCCAAATATTATTGTTATTCTGAACTCATTATTTCTAACATATAATTGGTAAATGATATTTATCGATGTATTATGTCTATGTTAAAATATGGCATGTGTATGGAATGATGATATCTTTTTGTTTCTGATGGTGTTTGCAATTGACTATATATATATATATATATATATATATATATATATATATATATATATATATATATATATATATATATATATATATATATATATATATAGAGAGAGAGAGAGAGAGAGAGAGAGAGAGAGAGAGAGATATGAGTTACAGGTGAGTGAGTCTATAGGGGATACTGAGCCCCTCTAATTTTGGATTTGTATAAAATATAATTAAGTAGAAGGAATTGATAAAATAATAAATGTAATGAAGTCATTTTATGAGGACCAAGACCCACAAGAAAATAAAACAAAAGCAAGAAATTTAAAAGATGGGCTAAAGTTGTCATTCCACTATATCTCGGATGGACCTATATCTCGGATGGACCATTATGTAATTTACTCTTATTATTAGAAATAATCGACAAAAAACATTATAGAAAAGCAAAAGGTAGAAAAGATTAATAATGAAAAAGTCATTATTGGGATGCAAATATCGTTTTATAATGTTGTAACTTATAATGTAAAACGTTGTAAATATGTAAGTTATGAATAATTCAAGTGGCAACAAAATAGAACCAAGGATACTTTTTGTAATAAAATGAAAATTTATACTTTTTGTAATAAAATGAAAATTTATACTTAATTTCTAACTTTTACTATACTATAGGTATCATTATTGTAGTTATACTATATCTTTTTGTATGTATATATAAAGCACAACAAGCAAAACAACAGTGAGATTATAGTCCTAACTTTTACATTTCTCTGGGTTTTACCTCATCTTCATCCCACCAACTAAAATTCCATTGCTGATTCTGTTTTCAAGATTCAAATTCACTCTTAAAACCCAAATGATTCCCAGAAAAAACCAACCAACATTAATTTGGAGGGACATTCCGGGTCTTGAACCCCTAAAACACGAAGAAAATGACCTCCTACGGCGTAGATGCGGTGGTAATGGTGGCCCTGTTCGTTCATTTGGCATTGATTGTTTCGCTTCCGTTTCAATGACAGAGAAGAATAGAGTTGCAGCAACGATTGAATTCACACCCAAGGCACCGCAGCTCATGAAACACCCGCTGGCTATTGTGGCTTTGGTGCCTAAAGAAGCTGCCGTGTTCGCCGCCGGTGCAGTCGCCGGTGCCGCCGCGAAGACCGTTACTGCACCCCTTGACCGGATTAAACTCATCATGCAGGTGAAGTATTGCACCTGATTTCGAATTTTGTTCGTTTAGTTCACAACTTGAACAATACGCATCGATCAATTCCAGTTTCCGTTAGCTACCTACTACTCATTAATGTTTTCCGTGATCCGATTTGACATGTTTCGTGAACAATAAATAACTGGGTTTATTACTCTCTTTTTCTTCTTGAATTCTGAAAATAAAAAAACCCAATTTTCAAAAAACAGATATGGGTATTCCATTAAAAGATGTTCATGTTATCATGATTTCTGGTAGATTCCATTAAAAGCTCCTATTTAAGCCTTACAGCTCCATTTTCATGTCTTAATAAGTATTCTTTCTACAGACTCATGGGCTGAGAGCTGGACAAGAAACTGCAAAGAAAACAATTGGATTCATAGAGGTATTTTATATCCATTTTATCTAGAGCTAAATACAAGAAATAGCAATGTAATTCCATTTATTCATTTATTTTGATTACAACATTGCACTTTTGAAAATCTACTCAATTATAGCAATGAAAAATGCTTTGCATTTGGATGACATTGCTATAATTAAGTAGATTTTTCAAAGAACAATGTTGTAAATTGTAATAGGAAGAAACTAAAGTAAGGTGTTATATTTAAGAAATAAATGGAAGTACAATGAAATTTTTGCATTTAACCCTATTATTTATCCCTTATTATATACAAAGTATTGAAGGAAATGGTTTGCTGACATGATTCCCATGTTACTTATGTGTTATTATTGAAGGGTATTTTATATCTTTGACTCATACTCCAATACTTCTAAATTACTTATAGAGTTGCTAACAGTATACAACAAGATTTCACTGCAATCAATATTGAAAATAAGATAGAAAGATAAAATAAAAGCATTACTTTGATTAAAACCTGTTTGATATGTTTCACTTTTCAAGAAACTTGTTAAACACAAATTTCTCACTTTCTTTTATCAACTTATCTCACTTTTATTTAATGTTAATTTTTAAATTTTATTTGCAGGCAGTTGTTTCCATAGGAAAACAAGAAGGTGTAAAAGGGTATTGGAAGGGTAACCTTGCTCAGGTGCTTTTACATTATTATTAAGTCATTCTATCTCTATTAAGTCAAAAAGAAACACTCATTTATATATAACTTAATTGATTCAGTTATTTCCTATCATTTTAGGTGCTACGTATCCTCCCCTATAGTGCAGTTCAGCTTTTTGCTTATGAGTACTACAAGGTATGCAAAAACTTTTTCTTGGAAAAAAGTGATTTGACGATTTTGCCCTTGTAAAAATAAGGGATTTGATGTTGAGTTTTGCAGAAACTTTATAGAGGGAAAGATGGTGAGCTTTCTGTTATTGGGAGATTAGCTGCAGGTGCTTCTGCTGGAATGACTTCCACTTTTGTAAGATTTCTCTCTCCTTTTTCTTATATTTTTTTTTATTTTTATTTATTTATTGTTTTAAATTAAAATTCCTTAATGTGTGTTTTTAGGTCACATATCCATTAGATGTCCTTAGATTACGAATGGCAGTTGATCCTGGATATCAAACAATCACAAATGTAAGATTTATTTATTAAAAAAAAAAAACATATAATTTTTTTTTTAAAATAAATAAACCATAATTTATTAATTTTAATCAGGTTGTTGTAAGGATGATAAAAGAGGAAGGAATCGGATCTTTCTACAGAGGACTTGTACCTTCTCTCATAGGAATAGCTCCTTATGTTGCAGTCAACTTTTGCGTGTTTGACTTGTGAGCTTCCTATTAAATATATTTACATTTAACCCCCTCAACTATTGGTTTTTACTGATTTAGCCACTTAACTATTTTCTTTACTGATTAAACCGTTAATCGCTATAGAAAGTCCTTATATAAGCAAATGCTCTACTGTCTCCAACATATTTGGATCCTAAACATGACTTGTTTGACCAATAGCCGAGGGTATTTTGGTAATTAACAATGAATGTATATAAATAGGGTGAAAAAGTCTTTGCCAGAAAAGTTCAAAAACAAAACTGAAGCATCACTAGTGACAGCTTTTGTAGCAGCTACTATTGCCACTGTAACTTGCTACCCTTTGGATACTATAAGAAGACAAATGCAAATGAGGGGTACTCCTTATAAAACAGTTTTGGAGGCTTTTCCAGGTAATTTTCTTACTATAAATAGCAACTTACTTTCTTTTATTTATTTACAATATACACCCTTCTACTTTCATTTCTTCTTATTACATCATTTTACTTTGAAAAATTGCTATCCGATTATAGAAATGTCAAAGACCTGTGTTTTCCGGATTAAACCTCAACTTTATTTTTTGCCTGAAAAAGACCTTGTATTCCTTTATTTTTTCTGAAAAAACCCTCAAATTTGTATTTTTTCCGAAAAAAAACCCCTCAACCTTCTAAATGCTTCCAAATAAACCCTCACGTTTTACAATTTTTTTTGGAAAAAAATGACTAAAAAGGCTCACAACCTAAAACGTGAGGGTCAGTTTCAGGAAAAAAAAAAAAAAAAAAACTTGATGTTTAATCTGGAAAAAACACAAAATATAAGGTCTTTTGTGAGATTAATAAAAAAGAAATCCTAATAAGATGTTATAATAAACAAATAAATGAAAGTGCATTGATATTTCTTGCATTAAGCCTTAAAAGCGTATGTTTGTTCAAAAAAATTTTCTTTAAACACTTGTTTCTACTAAATTTCACAAATAAAAAAAAACATCATTAATTATATAATTGGATTATTTTATGTAGGTATTATTGCTCGTGATGGTGTTGCTGGATTATACAGAGGTTTTGTGCCAAATGCATTAAAAACGTTACCAAACAGCAGGTTTACTTTTATTAACTTTTTATGCCATTAAAATTTAAATCCATGTCTATTTTCCTTTTTTTCTTTAATAACTTTTGTCTGGATGTTGGAAAAAAAAAAGATATGGAAGGAAAAAAGCTGAGGGTAAATTTGTAAGAAAGAAACAGGCATATATATAGTTTATAGGATTAAGTAAAAAAAAAAAGGAAATGACCAATTTGACCTCTGGTTTTGTTTGGTTGCAGCATTAGGCTAACAACCTTTGATGCTTTGAAACGGTTGATTGCAGCAAGTGAGAAAGAGTACCAAAGAATCTTGGAGGAAAATAGTAATGAACAAAAGCAAGGTTCATGTAGTTCCACAAGTTGAGTTATTTATTTAATTTGTTGTAAATCTTTTGGCCATTATAATTATAATATATATAAAAAAGTGACTATGGCACAAAAAGCAACTTTGTGATGTGTAATGCCTCTTTCTTATTCATGTGATGTTGTAATATAGCTTGTTATAAGTAATCATTATAATATAGCTTTCTTCTCATGTACTTAGACTTAGGATTCTCTTTCCATCTTCAATGAAAAGAAAATCCTTCATCAGGTTTGAATTATAATCTGCTCTAATAAATGAATTTTTTTTGTCAAATGTTATATTTTTATTGATTTGACCACATGTCATGTGGTGGTTATTTTTAATTATAAATTTTTGCACATCATATTTTATGGTTTTTTATTTTATTTTATTAAATTGCATATAATATTTAGATGTAATAATTACAATAAATGTTATAATAAATATATATCAATTTTATTACTTGACTTTTCTTTTAATTTCAAAAAATTTAAAGTAAAGTCTTATTATTTTATTTATTTATTTATCTAAATTATTTGTTTAAATTTAAAAGATAAAAAAACACGTTAATTTTAATAATTCAATTTTTTTTTCTAATTTTTCATATAAATTCAGTTTTTTCAAATGTTTAGAATTTTATATTTAATTTTTTTTAAATGAACTCATATAATACATGGATATGCATAAAACACCTTATAAAAGAATATACAAAGACAATATATTCTAAATCTTGAGATCAAAATTCATAGATATTTTCTTTGTTTTATTGTAAACCACTAATGAAAAAGAGACAAATGGACATATCATAAAAAAAATGAAATATTTATATATATATTTAAATTTAAGTATATTATACAAAGATAATCAAATAGAAAGGAATATAGAAATCAACTTCAATTTCATCAATTTCAAATAAATAGATTTTAAATTCGAAAAAACATATAACATATAAATAAATAAATTCTATGAGAATTCTTTTTCTTTAGATAGAATGCTCTTGCAAGATTGTTATGAAAATAACCTGTTTATATAGAGTTTTTTAATTCTTTAAATAATCTAGAATATATACAATTTTTTTAAGGAATGTTTGGATAAATTAGATTATAGTTTATTAGTTTATTTGTGTGGGTATTAAAAAGCACCCTATGTCTTCAAATAATTTAGAAAGAAACAATACTTAAAATCAACTAAATAATTAAGTCTTTAAATAATTTAATCGAGTAATAACCGATCAGGTAACCTCAACCCACCATCGCAGGTCTTGCTGCTTTGTCTCCTTCCACAAAAATGGAGAGAAAGCTCGAATCAGTTATAAACCCTAAACCCCTCTAATCACAGCTCCCATTTCCTACTACAAAATGTCATTCGCTTTGCAGCTCTCCTTCCCAAATTTCGATTTTAACACTGCCACTAGGCAGCAGAGGATTCAATTTGTATGCAACTCTTCTTCTAAGCAAACTAATTCTTCGAAACAAGAGTCTGAAGATGATACTCAACGTACAAGGTATTGCTTACACCTTCATCTCGTTACAGTTTTACTCTTTACGTAGAAGGAAAAAAGATATGGTTCTATTCTTTGCGTTTATTTCTTCATTGTGCGATTGTACGTTGATTTGGCATAGCGTTCATTGGGTCAATGGGATTACACAGTTCATCCATTTTCAATGTGTTATGGAAACGAACTCAAGTAACAAAAACACTTTTATCCAAATTAAAGTTTTCATTGACATTGTGCTGCATTACTACCCAGTTCCCCTGGTGTAATTGTTCCTGAGGGTTGAGGATCCTTCATATTGTTGTTTTGATTCGATACTTGTCTTCTTTGTGGATCAATTCCAGATATATGTTTTCATTTCTGATTTGTAAGTTTGTGTTTTTTGGTTGTAGTGATGAGCATAGCGTTGTTTTGGTGGAAAGATATGGAAATGGAACTTCAAAGAGGTAATATACATTTGCATTTCTTGAAGTACAGTTTGGATCATGTTGAAGAAGTGATTATATTTCATATCGTGCTAAACTTACACTCCCAACCTAGTTATCTTGTTGGAGATCATTATCTATGTGAAACAATCACTCTACATTGTAGATTCCAACCTAATATGCTGTTCAAATTCCTTTTGTCAGGTATATACTGGATGACAAGTTTCACCTAACAACATTTCTTGAAGATGACACCAAATCTAATGGATATTCTTCAAAAGAATTGCCATGGCTTCCTGATATAGTTAAAGATTTTGTTCTTCCTGCTGGCTTCCCAGGTTTATTCCCTTTTCATTTTCACCTCATATGGTAACTCTAATATATTTCTTCTCCAATTCTTTTTTTTTTTGGTTCAAAATCAGGATCTGTTTCAGATGATTACTTGGAATACATGTTGTTACAGTTTCCAACCAATGTCACTGGATGGATTTGTCACACATTGGTCACTTCAAGTCTTCTAAAGGCATGTCAATCTAACTCAAGCCAGTACTTCTGATTGGGTATCAATCTAACTTGCTACCTTTTTTTTTTTTTTTCTAATTCTTCTTTCTTTCTTTCTTTTCATTAGCAAACAAACATTTTGATTCCCTAATCTAATTTCCTCTACTTCTTGTTCCCTTTGTTTTTCATTTCAGTCATCTCTTTTTATTCTTTTGTAATTATCATCATCTTTTTGCTCTATGTCTAGTACTTAAGGCTGAATCATAGATTTTGTAAGGGATAAAATATAGAATTATAGATTATAATGTTCTTTGATTATCGTTTTTTTTTTTTATAAAATTATGTGCATTTATACAATACAGGCAGTTGGTTTGGACTATTCTTCTGGAACCACAGCTGCAGCTTCTGCTGCTGCAATAAGGTGATTTTCTATATAACTTGATACTAACATAATTGCAAGAAATAAAAATTTCTTTTTAGGGTTAAAGATATGATTATATAACTTTAACATATTTACCAAAAACATGTAGATGGGTGTCAAAAGATGGGATTGGTGCCATTGGGCGTTTTTTCATTGGTAGGTTTTCTTGAAAATCTCATAAATGGATTAAAAAAAAACACCAAATTTGTGCATTATCCATGATGGATTTGCCTTTCACAGGTGGAAGATTTGGAAATCTTTTTGATGATGATCCAAAACAATGGCGTATGTATGCAGACTTCATTGGAAGTGCTGGAAGGTGACTAATAGATTTTTTCTGTTATTTTTTTGAATAAAGCATTGAACTTTGAAAAGTATACCTAATTATAGCATTGTAATTTGAATGACATTGCTATAATCAGGTAAAATTTTCAAAGTAATAAGAAGAAAAAATTTAAAATTAATTTGTTTTAATGTGATATGCAGCATCTTTGATCTCACTACTCCTCTCTATCCTGCATATTTCCTCCCACTAGCATCTCTAGGGAATCTTGCAAAGGTATGAAAATTTACAAGATTGACCGAATAACAAAAGCATTAAAAGTTAAAAAAATAATATTCATTTTGTTTGTTGTGTGCTTTTAAAACTTTTAGAAATTCATTTGCTTGATATTTGATAACTTGACACAGGCTGTGGCAAGAGGGCTAAAGGATCCTTCACTTCGTGTGATTCAAAATCATTTTGCTATTTCAGGCAATCTTGGGGATGTGGCAGCAAAGGTAAAAGGGTATTTTCGTCATTTTAACCAAATTATATTTACTTTTGTGGGTGACTTAAATATTTTTCAGGAAGAAGTTTGGGAAGTATCTGCACAACTCCTTGGCCTTGGTCTTGGCATATTGGTCTTGGTATGTATGTCATTGTTTATTAGGTCTAAACACTATAAATAAAATAAATACCTAACAAAGGTAGTAAAGGGTATATTGGTCATTTTGCAGTCTACACCAGGTGTTGTGAAATCATATCCAGTTTTAGCATCAACATGGATGACTATTCGCCTTCTTCACCTTTGGCTTCGTTACCTCTCTCTTTCAGTTCTTCAGTTTGACTCAGTCAGATAACTTTTTTTTTTTTTTTTTTTTTAATTTTTAATTTTTTATTTGTGTAATTTAGGAGGATATTCAATATTGTACTCTGAATTGTTTTTTTTTTGTAGAATTTTTCACATTAGTTTTTTTTTTTTTTTTTTTTTTTTTTTTTTTTTTTTCAGGTAAATCTAAAACGTGCCCGGATATTGGTTAACTTGCATGTTTCAAACTCCAAAGTTCTAGGTTATATTTTTTACCCATAATAGCAATGTACTTTAGTTTTTACTTATAATATAGGTATTGTAGTAAATTTTAAAATCTGGGCCAAAAGTGTAATTTAGGATGAATTCGTAACAAATTTATTAAATTTGGGCCAAAAGTGTAAACTTTGGACCAAATTTGTAATAAGTTTCAAAATCTGGGCCAAAAGTGTAATTTAGGATGAATTCGTAACAAATTTTTGAAATTTAGGCCAAGAGTGTAAAATTCGGACCAAATTTATAATAAGTTACAAAATCTGGGCCAAAAGTGTAATTTAGGATGAATTCGTAACAAATTTTGAAATTTGGGCTAAGAGTGTAAAATTTGGACCAAATTTGTTATAAGTTTCAAAATCTGGGCCAAAAGTGTAATTTAGGATGAATTCGTAACAAATTTTGAAATTTGGGCTAAGAGTGTAAAATTTGGACCAAATTTGTTATAAGTTTCAAAATCTGGGCCAAACCCAAAAGTGTGGGTAAAAGAGTCAAAATGAATACAATTTCCGGTTTTTGGACTTAATTGACTAAAAATAAAAGATAAGGACTAAAAATGTATTTTGGATTTAGGATGTGAGGAATGCAACAAAATGGAGAATATCTTATCATGGGAGAAATTTTCGGTTCCACAAATTGCCTTTGGTGTGCCTTTTTCTGACATGCTTGTTGGAGAAAGATCAGGCCTCAAGGTATCACCTCATATTCTTTTCACATTTAACCTTTTAATGACGTGTCAATTACATGCCATGTCAGCAAAACCTAAGGGTTAAAGAAACATATACTAATTCATATTTTTCTTTTTGATAGGTGAAGATGCTTCTGAAACTGTATGCTAAGGAAAAATATATTCTTGTGGTGAACCAACAGCCTTTCAAGGATTTTGAGACCCTTGTCTCCTTTAAGGTATCCCACCACCACTACCACTACCACCGCCACTACCACCACCACATGTGATTAAATGTCTGATTGTCGAATTTTGGTTTCTTGTTATATTATAAAAATGACAGGAAGGAGCCACAAGTCTCTCAGTGCTTCGAAGTGTTTGGCAGACATATTGGCTGTATAAGAATCAAGACAAGCAAAAAGATGGTTTTGATGATCTGAAAGAAAGTCTGAATGAACTTAATGATCAATTTGAGAACTTTTTACAACAATTGAGAGACGTTGGATGGGACATTGATCAAATCAATTTGAAAGTTCGTAAGGATGTTTCTATCCAAGAATGGCATGTGGATTAATCGTGTTTTGGAATCCAAGCCTTTTTTTCTTCTTCGTTTTTGAACATATGAATGGATCCACTATATACAATGTTGGATGTAATAAGACATGTTATCAATAAAATATAGCAATTTTTTTGTTTTGTAGTTTTATGAAAATTTCCATTATGTATATATACCAGTGGTCGTTAAGGGAAGAGAACTTGTTCTAACATTTTAATGAAGTATCCAATACATTCCATGTCTGCAAAATTTAACTGATTGCTTAACGCTTAAACTGGTTAGTAGATTAAAACTCTATCCGGATGAGATTCTTATATGTGAAAATACAACTTATTACGAAGAAAAATAATATAAGATGTTTGATATATCTTTTTACTAGGTTTAGTAAGAGGCTTGGTTTGACTTAGTAGATATACTACGGAGATACAAACTATTTGATATCATATTTAAAAGCTTTTAACTTGCTTAGATACAAAGATACAGACTATTTGATACCAAATTTAAAAGCCTCTGATTTGGTCATGACTATGCTTCTTAGATTCAAGGTGATGGGTGGTTGTGACCTAGTCAAACTTTGATTTAATCAAATTTGAATGAATCAATAACTACCAAACAACATTTAGTGTATAGGAAAAAAAATTAAATGACATATATTAAACAAATGAAAAAATTAGGTTATCTGACCATGATCTTTAAATACACAAATATAGACCAACAGTGAATTATTTTTGGAAGGCTTATTTTTAACATAAAACTTATTATTTTTCTTGAAAGTTCTAATTATTTTTATCAAGATGTTGTGGACTTGTGCAAGTGTGGATGAGATTTTTCTGGTAAGGATCAAATTTCCCTCCATCTCCTTCCTCTCTTCTTGGGAAAAGGAGCAGAGGAGCTTTGAATTTAACCACCAATGTCCGCATTTACAATCTCCCTCCCTTTTCAAACTCCCCACCAACAACAAAACCCCATCAACAAAAACCACAGCTTTCGCTCCCCTCCTAAACCCCCTTCATCAAATCAAAAACCCACATCAGATTCACTTTCATATTCCTCATGGATCGAACAACTTCGATCCCACACCCGTTCCGGCAACTTCCACGACGCCATCTCCGTCTACATCGACATGACCACCGCCGGTCTTCGCCCCAACAACTTCGCTTTCCCGGCTGTTTTAAAAGCAGTTACAGAGATTCAGGACTTCAATTTGGGTGAACAGGTTCATGGTGTTGTTGTTAAACTTGGGTACGATGCATCTTCAGTGACCGTTGCGAATACGCTCTTGAATATGTACGGGAAACGCGGGGGTTTAAATGATGTCCTCAAGGTGTTCGACAAAATTACTGAAAGAGATAAAGTGTCATGGAACACTTTTATCGCTTCGTTATGTAGGTTAGAAGAATGGGAGCTTGCTTTGGATATGTTTAGGCGAATGCAATTTGATAAAGTTGAACCCAATTCGTTTACCTTGGTCAGCATGTCGCTTGCTTGTTCAAATCTTGAAAATCGCCATGGTGTTATGCTTGGGAAGCAAGTTCATGCTTACAGTTTAAAAATCGGGGACACCATGAGTTTTACAAACAATTCTTTGATGTCTATGTACGCAAAACTAGGAAGAATTCAAGATTCAATTTCGCTATTTGAGATGTTTCCTGGAAAAAATATAATTTCTTGGAACACCATGATAAGTTCACTCTCACAACAAGATCGATTTGAGGAAGCCATGGCTGTCTTCAAGGTCATGATTCTTGAAGAAATGAAGCCCGATGGAGTCACAATTTCAAGTGTTCTTCCTGCTTGTTCTCATTTGAAGTTATTACATCATGGGAAACAAATTCATGCTTATGCAATAAGAAACAATAATTTGATTGAAAACTCATACGTTTCTAGTGCTTTAATCGACATGTACTGCAATTGCAGAGAAATTACAATCGCCCGTAAAGTTTTCGATCGTCTCGTAAACCGGAGCCTTGCAAATTGGAACGCGATGCTTGCGGGTTACACACAAAACGGATTTTACGATTCTGCCCTTGTTCTTTTCTTCAAAATGATGGAGTTTTCTGGGCTTTCTGCTAACCCTACAACAATGGCGAGTGTAATTCCTGCTTCTGTCCACTGTGAATCTTTTCATGACAAAGAAGGCATGCATGGATTCATCGTGAAAATGGGGTTTTCAAAAGACGGATATGTGCAAAACGCGCTAATCGACTTGTATTCCCGAATTGGGAAAATCGATATTTCAAGAAACATTTTTGATAGATTGGAGGTTAAAGATACGGTTTCTTGGAATACAATGATTACAGGATACGTCGTTTGTGGATTCCATGAACACGCGTTAGATTTGCTGCATAAAATGAATCAAAGAGATGAAACCCACGATCAAAACCTTGAAAAGGTAACATGTAAACCTAATTCAATAACCCTAATGACTGTTCTTCCAGGTTGTGCAGCCTTGGCTGCCTTAGCAAAAGGTAAAGAAATCCATTCTTACGCAATTAGAAATCTTTTGGCCACGGATGTGGCAGTTGGAAGTGCCCTAACTGATATGTATGCAAAATGTGGCTGTTTAAGCTTCGCCCGCAAGGTGTTCGATGAAATGCCTGTGAGAAACGTGATCACATGGAATGTAATGTTCATGGCGTATGGTATGCACGGGAAAGGAGATGTTGCCATGTCACTTTTCAACCGCATGGTGGATGAAATCAACCCTAACGAGGTTACCTTCATTTCACTATTCGCAGCATGTAGCCATTCGGGCATGGTGGATGAAGGTCTAGAATTGTTCCATAAAATGAAAGACAAATACAGGGTTGACCCAACCGAAGATCATTACGGGTGTGTGGTTGACTTGCTAGGTCGAGCTGGGCGGCTAGCTGAAGCACACGAGTTGATAACCAAAATGCCACCACGGTTCAAGAAACTTGGTGCATGGAGTAGCCTACTTGGTGCTTGTTGGATTCACCAAAATGTGGACCTAGGCGAGATCGCAGCTCGAAATCTACTGGAATTTGAGTCGGATGTCGCCAGCCACTACGTGTTACTATCGAATATCTACTCGTCCGCAGGGTTTTGGAAAAAAGCAACCGAAGTGCGAAAAACAATGATTAAAAATGGGGTTAAGAAAGAACCGGGGTGCAGTTGGATTGAGTTTGATGATGAAGTGCATAAATTTATGGCCGGGGATTTTTCACACCCGCAAAGTGAGAAAATTCATTCGTTTCTTGAAAGATTATTGGAGAGATTGAAACAAGAAGGGTATGTGCCCGATACTTCGTGTGTTCTTCATGATGTGAATGAAGATGAAAAGGAGAGTTTGCTTTGTGGACATAGCGAGAGGTTGGCTATAGCATTTGGGTTGATTAATATGTCACCAGGTGTTACGATTCGAGTTGCAAAAAATCTTAGGGTTTGTAATGATTGCCATTCGGCGATTAAGTTTATTTCGAAGGTTGTTGGGAGGGAGATTGTTGTGAGGGATGTTCGAAGGTTTCATTGTTTTAAAGATGGGAATTGTTCGTGTGGTGATTATTGGTGAGATAGTATTAGGGCAAGTTGTAAGGAAATAACAATGTATTTTACTATATTTTTTTATATGGATAATTTATTTTATATTTTATCCATAATAACATTGTTCGTACATTTCTTTTATGAGAAATTGAATTGTCTCTTATTTGTTTATGCTTATAAATATTCCTACCTATTAATATTATGACACATATCATCATTTCACCATTCAATTTGATGTGATATATTCCTAATATACTTTTAATGACATAGTTAAAAAAAATGAAATGGTGATTTTTGTAGTAATACTAATAATTGAGCCCGTGCTTTGCTGCAGGTTTTTAGGTGTGTTTGTTACGAATTACGAAAGTAGATGAGAAAAAATCAGATTATATATACTAAGGGGGATACTAAATAGCCACGAAAGTTTAGAAAACGAATTGTGAAAGTGAAATTTTCGAAAGTTGAAGACAGAGGGGTGAAAGTGATATTTTAAAAAGTAAAAAGATAAAATATATCATTTTATAAAATAGAAGGGTTCCAAGTGACGGATAATACAAAGTTGAGGAGAAAAGATGAAGAGGTAAAAATGATATTTTACAAAGTTGGAGGTGAAGGGTGTGAAAGTGATAATTTAAAAAGTAAATTGACAGAAATATTATCTTACAAAATAGTGGGGTTGCAGGTAAAAGATTATATAAAATAGTATCAGTTATAGTGATTTTTTTTTCTATTAAGAGAGTAAAGTAAATTTCTAAAAGATAGAGGAGTGAAAAATACATTTTCCAGAGTATAGGAGGAAAAATCATATTTATATATACTACGTGATAAACACGAAAGTTTAGAAAACGAATGGATGAAAGTGATATTTAAAAAAAAGTAAAAGTATGAAAAAAAAAATAATTTTACTAAATATAAGGGTTTAAAATGACAGAATATACAAAGTTGAGGGATTAAAACCATACTTTAAGCATTGATATGCTTGTATATTGTGCGTTACCACTTGTACTATTCACTAGTGAATTTTACTGAACGGAGATAAACACAAGAACTTAGAAAATGAGAGGTGAAAGTGACATTTTACAAAATTGAAGGTAGAGGAGGTGAAATTTATATTTTAAAAATAAAGGGGTTACCACTTGTATTAATAGTTACAATGAACGGGGACGTGGATAAATACAAAAATTTTAAAAATAAAGGGGTAAAAGTGATAATTTATAAAGTTGAAGTGAAGTGGGGTTAAGTTATAATTTATACAGCAAAGAGAAGAAAAATATTATTTTACAAATTAAAGGGGTTATACTTGTACTATTAGCTACAATAAGTTTTATGGGGACCAAGATACATACTATAGTTTAGAAAGTGATATATTACAAAGTTGAAGGTAAAGGGAGTGAAATGGATATTTTAAAAAGTAAATAAATAAAAAAATATCATTTTACAAAGTAGAAGGATTGCAAGTGATATGTTATACAAACTAGAGGTTAGATTTAATTTGGACTTCCTCCATTAAAAGGAAAGTTTAGTTTTTGTATATATTTATAACTAGAGTATTTTTCTTTTTTTTTGAATGATAAATTTATTCTATTCTACTCCTACAATTCTCATAAATATCTACCTATATCGTTCACGAGACTTGAACCCTCGACTTCAAGGAGGGAGGGCAACACCGGATACCGATGGGTTAGAAGCCATTTGGTAATACTAGGAGTATATGTCTGGCATAAAATGCAGGAAGAAATTTAATTTCTTCTTCTTTTATCTTTAATTACGACGTACTGTGTTTATAATCAAATTTAGGTATTTATTAAATGATTTGACTTTAAAGT